CAAATATTAACATAATCTCTGTTTACTTCCTCCTTCAGTGCAGATATTTTTCCTATTTTTATGGGAAATGTAGCCTCTCCCTTCAACTAATGGAATTTTCCAGTTAGTGTGTGGAACAGATATAATGGAGCACATACTTCCTGAGATTGTTGAGCACCATGATGTTGGCATACATGTGGAAGAGGTAGTAGCTGTAGGGCGGGTTGTCATCTGTTGTCCATTGCTCAGGCTTGGGGCTCTTGTAAGAGAACATGTGATCACTAAGTTTGGATTCATCATCCACACTGTCAAAGCCAGTCACCTGTGAAAGAGGGGACATCCTATGAGTAAAGTCTAGAAAAAAAATAGCAAACGTTTTTTATCAGTCTGAAGTGCACCCTGTGATTTCAAATAATGTTCTAACATTGCAATAACTTTGATCATGAATTAATCAAAACAAAAATATAAAATACACTACATGGACAAAAGAATGTGGACACCAGCTTCCACTCTTCTGGAAAGGTTTCCACTAGATGTACATGGATGCAGGAATTTGCTCCTATTCAGACACGAGCATTAGCGAGGTCAGGCATTGGTCAGAGGTCACAAGTTGGCTAATGGGGCCTGACTTGTGGTTGTCATTTTAATTAATCCTTAAATATGTTGAGTGGGGTTCAGATTTGGGCTTTGTGCAGACTAGTCACGTTTTTCTTGCTGGAGCAAAAACGATCCTCAAACTTTTTAAAATGTTGAAAGCACACAATTCTCTAGAATGTTATTGTATGCTGGACACATTAATTTGAATTCACTGGAATTACTGTAATATTCAAACCTGTCAAGTAAAAGGCAATGTCCACATACATCTGGCCATGAGGTGTTTAAAATCAATTACATGAATTTTACATAAGTTGATTCAATTTATTTACATCTATTATGAACCTTGAACTTACATATTTTAGCAATACATGGAGGCATGGACATCTAAGGAGTCTACAGTAAGATCATAAGGGTCCATAATTAGGTTGTTAAACACCTGTTTGAGAGTTAGCTTAAGCCCCGCCTTCTCAAGGACAACTCTCTCTGCATCAGTTTTATAGGTGGTTTGGATGAAATCAAGCAGGTGTTTTTGGTTCATACATGCTGCTGCATGGATATGTGTGTCTACCTGTAAGTTAGCATTTGTGTACATTTAGACAGCAGGGGAAATCACATTTGCGTATACCAATGTGTGCGTCAAATTATACCTTTCTGACATTGTAGAAATCTCTGAGGAACACCCTTGAGCTCTTTTAGTTCCACCATTTCGTTGAGCATTTCATGTAGGTAAAACTTTGACCCAAGGAAATTTAGTCGTCTATGACAATAGGTCTTACTGTTTAAAGAAATAAAATACTGCTTTAGATCTCAGAATTTTCGGATATGCAGATAAGGAGAATTGTTGACATTATGGTGAAATTGGTTGGAGACTTACCAAAGTCCTTTTAAGACAATTCATGTCACTCGGCGGCCATCTTTGAAATGCCTCTCGGGCATGCAAGTGCAACTCCTATCTCTTTGAATGGGAAAACATCAAATTCTCCAAAACTGTTCACTAAGCTTACGATTAAATTCCATATCTGAAATCACCAAAGAAATCTGACAACAACTGTGTCATAAATGTTGTTACTTTTGCTCAAATAGCGTTATAAAAGCGTATTTTTCAGGCTAGATTAGCCAGTGCACATGCGCTGTCCTAAGAGCATGTCTCAGAACGCTGACTGTTTGTATACCAACCGAGACTTCTAACGGCAGATGCAGTGACAAGCTGACTTTACCGATTAGCGATTGGCTCTTTCATTCAGAAGGCGGGACTTCCTGCAATTGAGCAGCCATATTGAGCGTTGCATTTTTCCCCATTCAAAACTATACGAGGGACACGTCTTGGGTATTCTATAGTCTTTGGACTTACGTAGGCCCATCGGCGATCATGGCGAGCACATGACTCATGTCAATGGCAAATGTTTCCAGGTCTGGATAAGGCAGGCAACGTGGTTTGTTCATACTCAGAGCTTCAGTGTTTTCATATACTGTACATAAATAATGCCATCCTTCATTTTCATCTGATAATTGAGGTTGTCTGGAATATTTTCCATGCTGTAAGGGTCCTCTCCCTCACCAGGGCAAGGACAGATATCTGTGAAGTAGAAAACAACTGTAAGCAAAACATAGCTGGTGAAGCTAGTTGACCAAGAAAGTTTTGCTGGTTAAGTTAGTAAGAAGACAGCAGTAGACCATACAGTATCTCTTGGAGGTGACCAGCATAAAAAAGTTTGGTTTTCCCATCAGAGGAGAGGGAATTGTTCCCATTCTACCACAGAATTTTCAAGTGTTCTTAGTTGAGCCACACATAACTCATGTCAGCGCTTATGTCTTCTAAAATTAGTTCAGAGTTGATGTCTTGGGAAGGGACTTTAGGCAGGGACTAAATAGGAACATTGGGCAAACATAGTCTGATTTTTTTGTAAACAAAAATTTCTCTGAAATGTTTATAGAGCCTAAAACAGGGGTTCTCAAAGTTTACATTCAAAGGTCCAAATCTGAATTCTCATCAATGTCAAAAGGTCCGAAATAATTGTTATTACAAAACTTGTTTTTAATAAACATGCTTATAACTATATATAACAATTCAACTTTACATATGCTAATTATCATATTCATGATGTAAGTCGTACTTGCGTTTACTCTCTGAACTGTTAAATAAAGTACTGCATTTTTGTACAACTAAATGCCCAATAAAGCAGTTCTCATGTACTGTACATTTTTTCTATTTCTGAAATAGTACTTCAATGTAACCTAAATTTACTTCAACTGAATTGCTAAAATCTTGAATTATAACTGCAATACGCTGTTATACAACATTGAATTAGATTAATTTATTTAGCTATATCATGCAGCACGAACGTCCGTCTGTGTAACAAGTGCATATTTACAGACAAACTACATTCATGTTCATATGCCCAGACAGTGATAGGTTTTTGGAAACACTGTTTTGTACTCATTCATTCACAAGTCTGTTGCGGTTCGGTCAGTTGAATGTACTGCTAACTCTGCCGGATTGGGAAAAACCTTGCGCTCGCAGGGCGAAACCAGTGACATTATTCTACTGAATGAAAGCTAAAAGATTTATCCAAAATGTTGCTAGTTGCTATGCTAGTTGTCTTACAAAAAAGTCGGTAAAAACTGCAACACTGGTTCGTGTGTCTCTGTGTTTGTGTGCCATGGAGGTCTGAGTGATACGAGTGCACTTGAATTACGAAGTGGAGGCGGGACCGGATCGAATTTCCTCCCAGTCCGGATCCAGACCGGAGTCTGGACTTTAAGAAGGGCTGGCCTAAAATAAACCTAGAGAAAGAAAATTTTCTTCATGTCGTGTCTGATTATGAACCCTTAAGCAAATACAGATGTACCTGGAAGGATTTCATCTTCTTCTGTCCACCTTTCATTTGCTGCATTACGTAGAAACTGTGCAGTTGTCCGTGGGAATCTGTGATATGCCAGTTTTGAGTATTTTTCTCGAATAAAGAGAGCTTTTAGCAGACTTTTAGCTGCTTGCTCATAGTCCTCAACTGTAATCTGTAAGTATATAGTTAAACATCATCAGCTATTAAAAGCACCTTTGGTGGTTAAACTTTCAACAAATTATGGCAGAAAGTAGAGAAAGTTGTTTGTTTGTAAATTCTAGTAATACACACCCCAGCACAGTAGTCTCCACTTATGGTGACTCTTTGATACTCCAGGAAATTTTGTGAGATGGAAGAACAGGTAGATGAAGGAGAAATGAGGGGTGTCACCACACCCCGGACACTATCCGTACTTAAGGGGATTTGTAGTGACATGGATTGTGATCGACTCATCTTAAAACTCTTCTTCCTATAAAGGATTAAAGCAAATAGGAGCTAAAATTTGTGTGTCAAATCATTAATTGCCCTGCTGGAAAATACAATCAAATCCAGCTCCTGATGGTAGCTGGTTTGACATGTTTTCAAGATGGTCCAAAGTGGTCATTAAGGCCGCGTGTCCACCAAAGTATTTTTAGCCAGCAGAAAACGCCTGGTGCTCTGCTGAAAATGCCTAAATGCCTTGAGAGTGATTCTGCAGCGCAGTGGTTTTTTTCAGGTGAGACTTTTTGGCTACTATGATATGGAATATCTGTGTAACTAGAATCAGATTTTGCAGATAGTTTATTTATAAATATAAAAATGTTGACAAAATATGAAGTACTTGATCTGGCTCTTGTTTTAAATGATCTTATCTTTCGTTGTTGTGCGTCTTGTCATCTGTCGCTGTTGTATAAGTATGATGTGGCGGTTGGTCGATGTGGAATTTGTCCTGCCCGTCCTCCAATGTGATTGATTAGCTGACTAAAAAGTGACAGTGATGAACACTGGGTTTTACTCAAACTCTTAAACTCTCGGCAGCAAGAAAAAGTGCTCACTGCACGGTATGCTCCTGGTGTTTTAAAAAATGTGGCGATCCCATTGAAAACAATTGAAGAAATATGTTAGCCTTGGGAAAAACGCTTAGTGGACATGTGGCCTAAGGCCATTAACAGTTCCAAACTGGTCTAGAACAGGGATTTCCAATCCTGGAGGGCTACAGAGGTAAGCTCCAACCTAATTAAACATGCTTGAACCAGCTAATCAAGGTCTTCAGGATCACTACAATCTTGCTGGGCAGTGTTGTCAAGTCCGCGGTTTTCCCGCGGAATTGGGCTACTTTAACACTGTTGCCGCAGGTTTTATTTCATGTCCGCGGGTTGAAGCGACTCCAATAACATGATATTTATCCCCTGGAATACGAATTTTAGCAGGGGAACCCCGCCCAAAAAAATTTATTTGATCCTCCGGAATGCTATTTTTACCCCCTCGAAACACGATTGGGCTAGTTTTGGGCTCGTTTTGAGTTGCGATTGGGCGGATTTTCTTGTGAAAACCTAGCAACCCTGTTGCTGGGGCAGGTTATAATTAATTTTGCGTGACGTTGACTCTCCAGAAGCAGGATTGGAAACCCTTGGTCTACATGGTTGATCAGTTGATGGACCTGGTTTCAGTCATGAAGACCGTATTGATCAAGCCACTTTGGGCCAGCAGCTAAACAGCTATCATGTTCCAAAGACCAGTTTGTCCACCATAGTCTGGTACAGCCTGGTGTTTCAAGCAGGGCAAAGCTACTAATAGTAATCTACACTGAAGACTGATGCTGACCGTTTGGCACTTTCCTCTGACTGTTGCTCAGCCAGTTCTCTGAGTAGCTCCCTCTGTTTGGCTTCCTGCAAGCCTATGGGACAGTCCTCAGGGACAGTGTACATGGACAGGGCATCTTTTGTGTCCTCTTCCTTCAGTGCCGATGCATACACCTTCTCCGCCAGCAGACGAACTTCCTCATCCACATCACTCAGAACAATCTTTGGGAACTGCCGTGGCATATCTGTATAGGGGCACATTTAAACACACCTCAGTAACATTGCAACAGCTGTTGAATTCATGAAGTAATCTCCCAAGGCCTATGTCTGCCAATTCCATAAACATGGTCTCATTTTTAAGTCGTGTTGAAACCAAACAAGCATTTACAGAAGTGCTGTACTAGTTCCTGAGTTCCTGTCTCAAAACAACAGGGTTGATGTATGTTTCATGGCTCATATCAACACGCTTGCTGTAAAAAGTCCTGGGATGCCATGTGCATTCCCAGGCCATTGATTCAGGCCTGCAGAGTCAGTCACTAGTCCAATGCACAGCTGTAGACACACTGCCCTATAAAACAGTTATGTTTGTGTGAGGACAGATCAATTGTCTGAGGCCTGGGTGTGACTTCTCCCTGAACAGTTAGGAACATGGTCCACAGTGGCCGCATCAGGTGCTATCCTTGGCAAGAATCAGATCCCTTTGTCAAGGATTCCATTCTTCTAAGCCATTCTGAGAAACTTCCATATCAAGTAGAGATTGTGCCCGTCACACTGACTGTTGCCAGCTGCGTAACCATAGGTACTATCGACAAGCTAAAGGATATCTGGCACAAAACTGGAGCATATTCCATCTAGCTTTGTTGATTGAGAAATAAAATTACCATAAATATTTAATCATAATCACTCTTCCCATAAGATCACAAGCTTCAGTATCTTCTACATAACACACAAATCAAAGTCTGTCCGAAAAATGATGCTGACTGAAGGCCATGACCTTTGCTTCCCTAAACTGTTTTTGTTTTGATAGACCATTGCATCTGTTTCCACCCAAAACTTTGCTTAGGATCACTGCACTCAAAACACTACAATGACAACAAGGAAGTCCTCCTACACTGCCACTGTACCTACAAGACCTGTCAGAAAATAGTTACTGGTTCTGAATTGAGTACACTCTAGTTCTGTCTGTGGTGACCTGACTTGTACAGCTGTGCGACTGCTGCCATTCTTACCTTCAGCCCCCGTCACTGCCATCTCTGCTTCGGCTGTTCTTAGCGGCCACACTTCAAATGTGTTACTGGGTTTATGTTTGTGTGTGCATGTGTCTGTTGTGGGCCATGTCCAGTCTCACTCTGAGAAACTGCTGTTGTCTGACTACAGTTTTGTTTTCTTGAGTCTCTCTCTCTCTCGCTCTCTCTCTATTTTAAGAGGTTGAAAGCCTCCTGTCCACAGAGCTACTAATCCTTTGAATGTCACCACCGCCTGTCAACAAAAACTGACCCTGAATCCTACCGAGAACCGCTTACAAGCAGGACCTTGGTCAATCCTCCCAGCCCATCTCATGCGTACATACAAACACTGGTTTCACTCTTTGGGATTTACTCCCTCACTATCCCCTAAAATCCAGCCCATAAATACTCGAGCTGATCTCCGAAACCCAACTGTTCATGTGAACGGAATCTGTGGCCAAAAGAGCATCTCCTTTGAAATCTTCAGCTATCCCTCACCCCCAAAATCCTAGCTCTGACCTTGCTTTAGACACGTATAATTTCAGCCCCAGATAAACAGTCCTGCTGGCCATTATCATGGGTCTGCATGGGGCATCATGTCACTAAAAGTCCAGAGCTAATCACCCCTGAAACTGATACCTCTTAGTTGCTTCAGAGCTTAAACTGGGTGTTGACAGAAAGGGTGCTGTTCATGTTGTCCCAGAGCATGGGAACATGCCCAGCATCTATTTGTATCACATCCATTTGAAACCATAGAATAAACAAACCATCTTACCCTTTGTCATTTTAGACACAGTGATTGTTTGAAGCACGCAGCATGATCCACTTATGCACAAACACACATACTGAGATATGGAAAATAGACTGTAAAAACTTGGTGTGAGGGGACAAAGGGGAAGTAGGTTTACCTGATCTGACTGTTGTCCTTTGTTCCTGTAACAGCTGCTTTTATCTCATACCTTATCCAACTGGAGCTCCAACAGCAAAACCTACCCAACTGCGCCTTTCAGCCTGACCTGAAACTTGGAGACCGGTCACGTGGACGCCTCACAATCCTAGTGATGTGCTGCGTATTATTACAGGCTGCTTGGACAGGGCTGGGGAGGAACTGGAAGTGGATTTGTCAGGCTGGAATTGAAAATCTCCCCATCCCATTCTCTCTCCCTCTGATCGATCAGAGGGAGTTCAGGATCCTGTGACTAAGGGATTTGAGGGTCTGTGTGGTGCAAAGGTTTATGAGAGAGTAATGTAGTACAGGCAGGTCTTAATGGCTTCAGTGCAGAGTTGATGAGTATAGAAGCTAAACCGAAGCTACTGAGCCATGATCTGTAATATAAGCTGTGCAAGTTTCTTTGAATGCCTTTCTACATTGAGGCTGTAAATGCTTGTGTAAATAATGAATTACTGGTTTTCTTGCACCTGTGGGTCTATTTGATGGCTCAGAGGTGCTTTGCTATCAAGAGGCACTGTGTACAATGTAACTGCAAACAATGTATTAGGTTATAGTTCAGTAGTATAGTCAATGAAACTTAATTGATTTAAACATTAAATAAAAAAGACACCGTAACCATCAATAATAGCACTTCATATTAAAAATAAAATCTTTATTTTTGCTACTTTTCCACAGGTATCTTTCTTCTCCATATTTTGTGCTACACTTGTTTTACTCTTGAAATTCTGCTGATAGTGTTCCCTCTCATTTGAGAAATTGCTTGTGTTATCCTCATTTTTAAGTCTCGTTAGCTAACAGGATATGCGAATGTAAATATGTACTTGTATGTATATGTAAGGTCTTTGAAAATCGCATATTAATGTGGTTATGTGCTGCGTTAAGAGAAAGAAAAGTCAGGTAATTTATTCATAATGTTCTAAATGTTAGTAATCTTACTGAAGCACTTACCCAGCCTTAGATCTTACAGAACTCTGTGTCCTCTCTGCAGCTGCACTGCAATTATAAACCCATGAAGTTCTCCCAGGAAAGAAATGAAAGAAAAAACCCACTCAATTCTGCCCCCCAGTGATGTATGAGATATGGCATGTGGAATTCACTTAGCAAAGAAGGTTTAGGAGGTTTTACAAATTATTTTTTCTTCCTCTATCATTATTCCTTATCGTCCCCTTGTGGAGATGTGCATGTGTCCTTGAACAAGAAGGTACTGTGGCCACAAAAAGTATTTGGAAACACAAAAATGTATGAATGTCATTATATTGGATAACATAATATCAAACTAAGGTATTTAAACAACACATTTAAATGAGTAAATGACAATGAAAACAAGAAAGACATTTTTTTTTGGTAGGACTAGCCAAATGCTGGCATTAGCATTTGTAGGAGGTAGGTGGCCATTTCGGTAACACTTTATTTCGATAGTCCACTTTAGACATTTTACTAACAGTAAGTAACTTTGCAACTACATGTCAACTAGCAGTCATTAGAGTATTAGTAGACTGCTTAATATCTTCTAACACTTTATTTTGATGGGTCAACAACATACAACATACTGACTATCAGAAACGTTGCAAGTATATGTCAACTTATTCTACTAACCCTAAACCTACCCTAACAGTCTACTCTGAGAGTTAGTAGACATGTAGTTGCAAATTAATTAGAATTTGTTGACATGTAGTTGACATGTAGTTACAAAGTTACTTATAGTTAGTAGAATGTCTAAAGTGGACTATCAAAATAAAGTGTAACCGTCATTTCAATCATATGGATTTAATTTAATACAAGGTACACCAAAACTGACTTGAAACAGTTTTGGTCACTAAATCAGTCAAAAAATATATATAATCTGAATATATAGGCCCCGAACTTGCTCGAAGTATAAATGAGTCGTTGTGTTGATTGCTGGTTCATATTCACTGACAGGAGTGAAGATTTATGAGGTGTCAATGAGTGAGGCAGATGGCATCAGTCCCAGAACACATTTGAAAATTCTTGGCAAAAGAATGATAACTCAAATAATTGTTACCACATGATGGAGCCATAGCATTAAAATACAATAAAAGGAGGGCTCTTGACTGAATGAAGACATTTTTAGCTGCAAGGTGCAAATTTTGGTCTGACCACTGTGAAAAGAAGCTTAATTCCTTATTCAAATGCACATTCAAAAATAAGTATATTACATGCTTTGATTGGGGTTTCAAATATTTCAAATTTCTCCACCAGAATTAGTTAACAAGTTAGCCAAAGTGCCTATTTTTACCTGGTAGTAAACAGACTCTCGCAAGCAGTTTCGTCTGGTGAGGTAACCATATTAGTAATTTTCGTTCAGATAATCCGATGGCACATTGAGAAAACATAAAAACTGTCATGCTGTCTGTAAGTTTCTGTTGTGGATATTGACTCTTGTTTATTTAAACGTTCTGGAATTTTCAGAATGTGTCCAACTTTCCAGCCTTATTGAGTACTCTAAATAATTAAGCTTATTTGCCACTTAAACATAAAGAACAAAGCAGCTTTGGAGGAAATATTTTACTAATGGAAGGCTACAGCAGAAACATCTACCTTTTCATCCTGTATTCAATGGACAATTCCATTTTTGTGTTTTTCTGACACTTGTATGTGTTCATTTGTGATTAGCTTCATGTGGTGTTTTTATATTACGTTTATATGAGTGCAGCAGTAAAAAGTGCATTTCGGAAGTTCCATCTCATTAAGACAGGAATGAAAATGATGTGTTTAAGTGGAATGTCCTATGGAGCACCTCTCACGTCTGCTCTACATCCCGCAAACCCACCCCCTGCAGAGGTCCCATTAAACACAGTCCTGGCCCATTCCTCCTTCAAATACAGATAACCCACTTTGTATGAAGTGAGTAGGTATGGAAAACAGAAAGAAGGAATGCACTTGGCACCCCATTTGCTAGGCACCCCAGGGTCTTTAACATGTAATAACCCAGACCAGGTGCTGATCATCTGTCTGTCCACTCGGCAATCCGGACGAGGAACAATGGCGAGACACTTTCCTTTTACTACCTTCACTTCCTGTGGAACAAACAGACGAGGTCCAGAAGACATCAGCTTTAATTGAATGCAGGTTTTATTGAATGACAATGTTAATCCATTTCACACACAAACACACAAATAAAATAGATCCCATTTACAAATATATAATTGCATAAAAAGTTCTCCTATACCACAGCTTGAGACATCCTTGACAACAATGAATAATAGATATAACGCTACCTTCAATGCCCTTACTTTTTCCCTGTACAAAAATAGCTCTATCTCTGTAAGTAGTATAAAGTAATATAAAACAATTAAATAGTAATATATTTGACCTTTTTTTTCAAATATACATATACTTGCAATAAAAATGAAATAGATTGCACATATCTCTATACAAATAATAACAACAACAATGTTCAAGTAAGTTAGAATACAATCCTTGTGGACTGGCACAGACAGTTCACATAATCAAAAGCATTCATCCTGCTTACAGTGTCCAAAAAAGGAGATTCCAAATTAGAAACCCCTTCATTGGCATTTTAAAAGTCTCTCTGTGTATTCCATTCCAGATTCATGAATCTTTCCCCACTGAATCGACTTGAAGTCCAAAGACTTTCTGGCACAGTCACTGGACAGGATCAGCTAAACTAGGGGCCGTAATCCCACCAACTGGTTCACCAGGAGGGCAGTCCATTTGTCCCAGGAGAGGTGGTTCTGCTTTTCCCTGAGGCCAGTCCACTTCAGTGCAACAATATCTTGCTCATATCCAAGGCACACTTATTCAGTTTCTCCATCTGCATCCCCACTTGTTTTCAACAGCTGCTGTTGTTTCTGCGCTTCTCTTTGCTGATTTCTCTTCCGAGGACAGCCTTCAGAAGGCAAGATTGCTCTTCCAGCCCCTGTGCTTGGAAAAGAATGCGCTGGAGAACTCTTGGCAGGAGTCTGAGGCATTTCTAGAATTTCATAGTTGGCCGGCGAGCCTCTGTCGCCGCGTCCTCGAGCGCTCCCACCCTGTGCGCTCACGTCCGTCTGAGCAGCGCTTCCAGCTTGTGCAGCCGTGATTGAGAGTTTGAGCTGCTCCACACCGTCCGCAGCCTGCTGCCCTCCTGTCGCAGTGTCA